CTTTTATGTTCTAGTCCTCTCTAGATAAATGCCCACATTGTATTTGCCTTCCTAACTACCCACTCAATCTGCAAGTTTACCTTGAGAGAATCGTGGACCAGGACTCCCAAGTCCCTTTGCACTTCAGATTTCTGAATTTGCACCCCATTTAGAAAATAGTCTATGCCTCTATCCTTCCTACCAAAGTGCATTATCTCACACTTATCCATGTTGTATTCCATCTGCCACTTTTTGTCCACTCTCCTAACCTAAATCCTTCTGTAGCCTCCCCACCTCCTGAATACTTCCTGTCCCTCCACCTATCTTTGTATGATCTGCAAACGTAGCCAGAATGCCCTCAGTTCCTTCAGCTATATCATTAATGTATAAAGTGAAAAGTTGTAGTCCCAACACTGACCCTTGTGGAACACCACTAGTTACCAGCTGCCATCCTGAGAAGGACTCTTTTTCTCCACTCTCTGCTTTCTGCCAGACAGCCAATCTTCTATCTATGCCAGCATCTTGCCTGTAACATTATGGGCCCTTATTTACTCAGCAGCCTCCTGTGCGGCACCTTGTCAAAGGCTTTCTGGATGTCCAGATAGATAACATCCATTGGCTCTCCTTGGTCTGACCTGCTCATTACCTCCTCAAAGAATTCTAACAGATTTGTCAGGCATGACCTCCCCTTGATGAAGACATGCTGACTTTGCCCTATTTTACCATGCACTTCCAAGTATTCAGAAATCTGATCCTTCACAATCGACTCCAAAATCTTACCAACAACCGAGGTCAGGCTAATCGGCCTGTAATTTCCCGTCTTTTGCCTCATTCTCTTCTTAAACAGGGTGGTTAAATTAGCGATTTTCCAGTCTTCGGGGACTCTCGCTGACTCCAGTGATTCCTGAAAGATCATTATAAATGCCTCCACTATCTCGTTGGCTATCTTCTTCAGAACTCTGGGGTGTAGTCCATCTGGTCCAGGTGATTTATCCACGTTCAGACCTGTCAGTTTTTCTAGCACCTTCTCCTTGGTTATGGCCACCATATTCAGCCATTCTCCCCACCCCTACCCCCACCACAACCAATGATTCGCTTGAATTTTGGGCTATTACTCGTCTCTTCCACCATGAAGACTGACACAAAGTACTTATTCATTTCCTCAGCTATTTCTTTGTTCCCCATTACTACTTCTCCAGTGTCATTTTCCAGCTGCCCAATGTCCACTTTTGCCTCTCTTTTGTACTTTAGACATATAAAGAAACTCTGGCAGTCTTCTCTTCTGTTACTGGTTAGCTTATCCTCATATTTAATCTTCTCCCTCCTTATTTCTTTTTTCATTGTCCTCTGTTGGTCTTTGTAGACTTCCCAGTCCTCTGGCTTCCTACTGCCCTTCACCATATTATATGCTTTCTCTTTTGCTTTTATGCTGTCCCTGACTTCCCTTGTCACCCATGATTGTCTCATCTTCCGCTTAGTATCCTTTTTTCCTGGGGATAAATTTTTGGTGTGTCTCCTGAGTTATTCCCAGAAATTCCTGCCATTGCTGTTCCACTGTCTTTCCTGCTGGGCTCTTCTCCCAGTCAATCTGGCCAGGTCTTCCCTCGTGCTTCTGTAGTTGCCTTTATTCAACTGTAATACTGTTACATTTGATGTCACCTTCTCCCTCTCAAATTGCACAGTAAATTCTATCATATTAAGGTCACTGCCTCCAAAGGGTTCCTTCACCTTAAGCTCCCTTATCAAGTCTGCCTCACTGCACAACACTTAATCCAGAACTGCCTGTTCCCCAGTGGGCTCCACCACAAGCTGTTCCAAAAAGCCATCTCGTAGACATTCCACAAATTCCTTTTCTTGCGATCTACTATCAACCTGATTTTCCCAGTCCACCTGTATATTGAAATCCCCCATGGTCACTGTAACCTTGCTTTTCTTACATGCCTTTTCTATTTCCTGGTATATCTTGTGCCCCAAATCCTGACTACTGTTTGGAGGCTTTATATGTAATTCCCATTATGGTTTTTTTTTTAAAACCATTGCGTTTCCTCAACTCTACCCATATATATTCTACATCTTCTGACCCTACTTCGTTTCTTGCTATTGATTTAATTTTATTTCTTACTAATGAGGCAACCCCACACCCTCTGCTCACCTGCCTGTCTTTTCAATAGGATGTATATCCTTGGATATTTAGCTCCCAGTTCTGAGCTCCTTGCAGCCATGTCTCTGTGATGCCCACAACATTGTACCTGCCAACTTCGATCTGCACCACAAGCTCATTTACCTTATTTTGTACGCTGCGTGCATTCAGATACAACACCTTCAGTCTTATATTGACCGCCTCTCTTTTCATGGTCATTCGTTTATCCAGGGGGCTTGAAATTTAATTCCTAACCCTTTCCAAACATTGTCCTGTTTTGTGGGCTACAGACTTGAATAACCTCTCCCAAGTTCTCCTTTCTTTTCATTTTTCTCATACTTTTCCATGTGGTTGAATCCACCCCAGCAAATGTTCACCTGCTGCTTTGTTTCCCATTGGTCATTATACTTCTGGGAGTTTTACCCTTCCTAGTGTTGCCTATGTTGTTTGTCTTGACATGGACCACACGACTGGATCCTCCCCCTCCAATATCCTTTCAAGCCAGTCAGAGATGTCCCCCACCCTGGCACTGGGCAGCCAACATACCATGCGGGACTCTCTATCCTGCTTACAAAGGATGCTATCTATTCCCCTAATTATAGAATCCCCTTCAACTACCATTTGTCTCTTTGCTCCCCACTCTTGAATGGCATCCTGTGCTATAATGCCGTGGTCAGCTGGCTCACCCTCCCTACAGCCCTGTTCCTCATCCACACAGGGAACAAGTACATTGTACCTGTTGGACAAGGTCAAGAGCGGAGGATCCTCTGTTCCTGAATGCAGGATCCCTCTGTCAGACGGGTTCAGTCTGTGATCTAACTTGTCCTGTAATAACATCAGGTGGCATGATAAGAATAAAGCCTTGATGGCCAATCACTATTACTAAGACTTCTAAAAGTCCCCTCAAGTACTCAGTTGCTATTCTGCGGAAGAGAATCTATGTCTAAAAGTGATAGATGGTATTAAAAACAATTTGGATGGTGACAGCTGCACTTTACCATTTTCACCACTACTGCTTAGAAGCATAATCCACTAATCTCATACACCAGCTTCCAACTCTGTTGAAATACAGTCATATCTATTTCCAACTATTAAGCTGGGTGAAAAAATAAAACTTTCATTTTTCCAGATTTACTGTTCCATGAAGATGTTAAGATAGTCCCCCCCGATTTACACTTATAACAAGATTTATCTCCGCTTACTTTACATACATATATGAACCAAAACTGACACAGGTTTACCAAGTGCACTCTCTGCATTGGTTTACTCTTAGGTCTAATCTTTTGTCACACCAGCTGTTGGTGTTAAGCCAGTGGCAGCACTTCTATCTGTGAAAAAATAGAATATGGTGATTCTAAATCACTCCCCAGGTGTGTGACACATAATCCATGTCTGACACTGCCAGTTCCTGCACCAGAGACACCTACTCTTCATCTGTATCTCTTCTAATACCATCAGCATTGCTTTTCCTTCTTGTTCTGAGGCATCTTTACCATCTGTTCTACTTGGTCCTCCTTCAATTTTTGTTTCAGCGGCATAAAACCGATCATTTTTCCAGCCTCCTTCAGTTTAGAGAACAGTCATATTGGACTTGAAATGTTAACTCTATTTCAAACTCCACAGATGTTATTCAACCTGTTGAGTCAGTCTCTCTCTCTCTCTCCAGTACTTACTGATTTTCTTTGCAGCATCAAGGTAATCCTGCACTAGCAGATATATTGACTTTGTCAACCCTCTTGCAGTCTCAGGTGAATGAAAACAAAATCCCTTATGGCAACTATTGAAAGGTAAGGTGAATCCTGTTACCCCACTCTCCTGCAAATGACATCACAGGAAAGATTTCCTAGATGTTCAGCACACAGTGGGCTGTCTCAGTTTTGCTGCAGTGGTGCCCATACTTCTCAGAATTAACCGGAAGGACTAGAGGTGGCAAAAATGGTTTCTCAGATTGAGTCTCCCACTGCCTCCACCTATTAACTTCATTTCACATATCATTAACCTCTTGCACCTCAACCCCATTATTAACCCCCTCAAACCTGACCACATCATCAATTGCAAGCATCCAGCTGCTATTATTAACTTCTTTCCACTTTAATCTTATTGTTAACCCCTATATACACCACCCCATTAAGAAGTCCTTTTGAATCCTGGCCCTGTCATTAACCCCTAGCTCCAGACTCCATCATAAACTGCTTGCACCCTCACATTTATCACCCTGCACAGTACTTCCAACATTAAGCCCTCTGGTACCCTGACCCTGTCATTAACGCTCTCCTATACCCTGACATCGTTACTTAGCCCCATACCCTGACTCCAGTAATCAATGCCACCCCACAGCCTGATCCCATCGTTGATCCTCTGCACCCTGACTCCATCATTAACTCCCTGCATCCTAAACCATCATTTAACCCTGCACTCCGAAGCTGCCATAAATCGCCCACACCGTGACGCCGTCATCAGCTCTATGCACCTGGACCCTTCCGCACCCTGCCTCATCACTGATCCTTGGTACCCCGACCCATCATTATACCCCCTCCTGTACCCCGACCCATCATTATACCCCTTCTGCATCCTGACCCGCCATTAAGCCTCTGTTGTACCCTGAACCTGTAATCATCCTCCTACAACATGATCCCATCATCAACGCTCTGCACCCTGACTTCATCATTGACCCCCAGTACCCTGAACCCATCATAAACCCCATCCTGTGCCCTAAACCCACCATTAACTCACTCCTGTACCCCGGACCCCATCACTGACCCCTTGCCCCCGATTCCCCTACCATTAAACCTCTGCACCCTGACCCCTTGCACTTTGACCCCATATTTAACCCCCAACGTTCCTATCATTAACCCTTTACGCGCCCGCAGCGAGGACGCACCACTTTCCAAACGCTCCGTCGAATTCGTGGAGATGCCGGTTTTGCTACTGTTGTAGCTCTGGTCCTTGGACCATTCCCGACTGGTCAGACGCCAGAGTTTCATGTCCCCACCACCAGCCAGCAGCAGCACCTTCGACTCCTGACGGCCGACCGGCAGCCCCGGAGGCGGGGCGGAGCTGGGTGGGGAAAGAGTCACTCTCCCCGCCCTCAGCACCACCGGCGGCGGATATCCCGCCTTCGGGCCGCACCGATTGGGTTACCGCGGAGCGGCCGACGGGCCAGGCCGGCCGCCGGTTGGGGGAGCTTCTCGGCGACAAGCAGTGGCGCCCATTTTTCTTTCTTCCGCCTCCTTCCCCGCTCGAGTGTCCCCGCCAGGCCTCAAACCGCCCTCCTTGCCCGGACCGACGATGGCAGAGGCTCGATGGGCTCCTCCGCCTCCGATTGGGTGGGAGGACTGTCCGTCAGGCCAGGCGCCCTCGCCGATTGGTGCAGCCCTAGCACAAGCACCGCCCTCATCGGGGTGGGGCTCCGCTCGACACTGAATCCCCCAAAGGCCGCCGCTCTTGAGGGAGCTTCACGTTTCCTTGGGCAACGAGTCCGCGCCCCCTGAGGATGATTGACTGTTCATGGCCACGCCCAGCACCGCAACGGGTGATTGACATCCGTCACAGGTTGACGGACGCGCGCAGGATAGGTGCTCGCCTCGCCCACCGTTGGTGATTGATAGGTCCTTGGCCCGCCCACTGGCGGTTATTGATATGACGTGGCCCCATCCACTGGCCGGGATTGATAGGTTGCGGCCCCGCCCACTCCCGGTATTTGACGCCCCGCCTCAACCGTTTCGCTGATGTCATCCTCTCTCAACTCCCATCCCCTTTCTCCCCTCCCCCCACCCCATTCCTGAAATCCCTTGGTTAACCTGGTGTCCAGGGAGAAGGAGAGTGGTCCACACAGCAAGAACATTGATTAAGTGGACTGTACTATTCTACATGAAGTCCAGCCTGAAGCAATAACCACTTGACCAAGTAGCCAACCCTGGTTTTACATGGAGACCATGTTGAAGAAACGCCCTCAACTATCTGGGCAACCCTGATTTTACCTGGCCAGTATTCAGGATAGTCCATCAGATGGTTGGTCCTATCCGGATCAGCAATGGAAAGATGCTCAGGCGGATTCTTGAGATGGTTCAACTCTAGTAGGACTGCTTTTTCGGATTTCTTATCCTTTGGTCTGCTCAACCTATGTTTAAGCTGTCTGAACTCCACAGAGCGAGAGTGCATACTCTATCTTGGCCAAACAAAAACCCTACAATTGAGTGTTGATCTCTCCATAGCTTGATTTAGAGACTTGAAAATGGCGCTGGTTTCCATGTATGTCAGACAGCCCTCTAACCGTACTGTCTTTTTATTACATCATCAAAGGCTAATGGAATGTTGGCCATTATCTCAAAAGGGATAGAATACAAAGGGGCGGAAGTTATATTACAGTTATGTAAAGCTGTGGCTAGACTCCATTTAGAGTACAGTGTTCAGTCTGGCTCTTGCATCTTTGGGACAATACAGTAGCTTTAGAGGGGTGCAGTGCAGATTCAGCTGAATAATACTGGCCTAAAAAGTGTTTTGTAATCTAATTCTTATTTATCTTATAGTATCCAAAGACTCACTTGCATTGTCTTTGATCCCCACCCAACCCCTCATCCTCGAGAATGTACCCTTCACCCCATCCTCTTTCTTATCGACAAGCTGCTCATCTGAAATCATTTTCCACTTTTACATAAGCAACATTCAGATTCTCTTCATCATAGCGTCTTGACAACTCCAATGTCTCTAAGTGACATCGAGTGCCGGCTGGGCAGAAATTTCCAGCTATAAAATATTATAAAGATTGAAGTCCCTGCAACCAATTCCATTCTCAATTTCTGTCAATCTCTCCAGAAACTGTTTGAAGCTGAACCAGCTGTTTTCAACCTTGGCATCAATTTGACTGGAAGATGAGCTTCTGAATGCAGTCACACTGTCACCAACACTTTTTTTACTCATTCATGGGATGTGGGCGTCACTGGCTAGGCAGCATTTATTGCCCATCCCTAATTGCCCAGAGGGCAGTTAAGAGTCAACCACATTGCTGTGGGTCTGGAGGCACATGTAGGCCAGACCAGGTAAGGATGGCAGTTTCCTTCCCTAAAGGGCATTAGTGAACCACATGGGTTTTTCCAACAATCGGGAATGGATTCATGGTAATCATCAGACTCTTAATTCCAGATTTCTTTTTTAAATTCAAATTCCCCCATCTGCCATGGCAGGATTCAAACCTGGGTCCCCAGAACATTACCTGGGTCTCTGGATTAACAGTCCAGTGACAATACCACTAGGCCATTGCCTCCCCTATTTTCACCCTTCTAACATGATCAGAGTCCTGAATTTCTGAAGGAGGATCTAGGCCCGAAACGTCAGCTTTCCTGCTTCTCTGATGCTGCTTGGCCTGCTGTGTTCATCCAGCTCTACACCTTGTTATCTCATGATCTGAGTCCACCCTATCTTAGGCCATCTGCTGTTGGAACTCTCCTCTGTGCCTTTTTTTTAAATCAGCAGGCTTGATTATTCCTACGGGCAGTCAATCATGTGCTTTCCTCCATAAACTTAACCTCATCCAAAACTCTGCTATTCATCTATCACCCCTATACACACTGAACTATATTGCTCCTGACTAGCAGCACTTTGATTTTAAATTGTTCTTCCTTGATTTTCAAATCTCTTTTTATGTTTGCCCTGTCTACCCTGTGTAACCTCCTCCAACTTGTGAAGATACCTGGGCTCCTGTAATTAGCCTCATGGGCATCCTTAATTTTCATTTCTCCACCATTTGTGGCCATGCTTTCAGCTGCTAAGTCCCAAAGCTCTGGAATCCCCTCCTCAGTCTCTCCATCTTTCTACCTCACATTCCTCCTTGACAACCTACCTTGCACTATAATTATGGTCATAAAGACATAGAGATGTATAGCACAGAAACAGACCTGTTGGTCCAACTCGTCCATGCTAACCAGATATCCTAAATTAATGTAGTCAATACTCTGTTTAAACGAGCGATAACACACTGCAATGCCCTGGAGCTGTGCAAAAACAAAGAGGAACACTTATACAAAGTTTTTATGAACAATGGGTATCCCAATAGCTTCATTCACCAATGCCTGGCAATTAACCAACACACTGGCCACCCTACCCTATATTAGAAACACACCAGAACTGACTCCAACGACCTCTTGGAATAAAGATAGCACACAAACCAACAGTCACACTTCACCAGTTACTGTCAAAGATGAAAGACCCCATACCCACAATGAGCAGGACAAATTTGATATACAAAATACCATGCAGCAACTGCGAGAAACACTACATAGGACAATCGGGCAGGAAACTCGCCACCAGGATACATGAACACTAATTCACAGCAAAACGGCATGACCAACTCTCCCTCGTTTCAATACACTCCGACATAGAAGGACATCAATTTGACTGGGACAAGCAAAACAAAGACAAGCACGAGAATTCCTGGAGGCCTGGTTTTCAACCACCGGTGTGATAAACAAACATGTTGAAATAGGCCCTATTTGCCATCATTTGGCCTGTATCCCTCCAAACCCTTCCTATTCATGTACCCAACTAGATGCCTTTTAAAAGTTGTAATGTATCAGCCTCCACCACTTCCTCTGGCAGTTCATTCCATACACACACCACCCTCTGCGTGAAAAATTTGCCCCTTAGCTCCCTTTTAAATCTTTTCCCCCTCACCTTAAACCTATGTCCTAATTTTTGGGCTCCCCTACCCTGGGGAAAAGACCTTGACTAATCACCTTATTCATGCCCCTCACGATTTTATAAACCTCAATAAGGTCTCCCCTCAGCTCCAGAGAAAATCACCCTAGACTATTCAGCCTCTCCCTATAATTCAAACCCTCCAATCCTGGCAACATCCTTGTAAATCTGTCTTAACATCTCCTTTTGTGGTTCTACATTTTAAAATATTTGTTTTAAAATATTCTTGTGAAGCACCTTGGGACATTATTATTTTTAAAGTGTCAAATAAATTCAATCTGCTGTTAAACTATGAGGATAGTTTTCTTCATCGTCATCATGTGTGCTGTAGAGACAGACACCAGCACCTAAAACAGTGAGAGTGGGGGACCCTATGCATCTGAAACAGCATGAGAGAGTGAGTGGGATGTGCAGCATCATAAATTCATCAAGAAAGTGGGGACCACAGCTTCTCAAACAATGGTGATTTAAGGAGATGTCATAGCAGCTGATGAGCGTGGTTAAGAAATTCACTTTTAAAATACTTAAAATCCTAATAATTAATGAAATTGAATCGAGAAAGCTGAGCATGTGATGTATTGCAGCTGTAGTATGAGGGTCCTGATGGACACTGGTGTGATCCACGGTGACCATACCTGTAGCAAGTGTTGGCTGCTTGAGCAACTTCAGCTTAGAGTTGATGAGCTGGAGTCTGAGCTGTGGACTCAGCGACACTTCAAAGATTGGAAGAGGTATGTGGACACTTGAGTTTCAGGAGGTAGTCACATTCACCTAAGATGAAATTACAATAAATTTGGTTCATGGTCAGGGACAGGGAGGTTGGACTGCAAGTGAAAAAGTTTTATAGAACCAGAATTTAGCTTTGGAGGAGCCTCTGCCAGTGCATTTACCCAGTTGGTGCAAAGATCTTACTCTCTGTGTGGACAAAGGTAAATATTGCAGAGAGGATAAACAAACTGATCAGAGCACTGTAGTCCAGAGCACCATTCAAATAGGAGAAGGAAAGAGAAATGTAGTAATGTAGAAATATGGGCAGCATTGTGGATCAGTGGTTAGCACTGCTGCCTCACAGCTCCAGGAACCCAGGTTCGATCCAACCTCAGGTGACTGTCTGTGTGGGGTTTGCATGTTCTCCCTGTGTCTGCGTGGATTTCCACTGGATCCTGCAGTTTCCTCCGTCTGTCCAAAGATGCTCAAGTTAGGTGGATTGGCCATGCTAAATTGCCCAGTGGTGTCCAGGGATGTGAAAGCTAGGTGACTTAGCCATGGCAAGTTTGGGGTTATGGGATAGGATGGGGAGGGGGCGGTGTTGGGTCTGGGTGGATGTTCTTTGGTGGTTGGTGAAGACTTGATGGGCCAAATGGCCTCTTTCTGCACTGTAGAGATTCTGTGATTCTAGTAGGATAGCTTAATGATGGGAATAGATACTGTTTTCTACGACACAGCAAAGACTGTATTGCCTGCCTTGTGTGAAGGTTCAGGGCATCTCTACTGAACTGGAGATGAATATTGAGTGGGAGGGGAAGGATCCAGTTGTCATGGTCCGCATTGGTACTACTGACATTGATAGGACTAGGAAAGAGATTCCAATTGGTTCTATGAACAGCTCAGGGCTAAATTAGAAAGTAGAACCAGAAATGTTCTAATCTCCCAATGACTACCTAAGTCACAAGCAAATTAGTGTAGGGTAAATAAGATTAGAGAGGTCAATGTGAGCTCTCAAAGATTGATGTTGGAGAACTGGGGTCTGATTCATGGGCACTGGCATCAATACAGGGAAAAGAGCCAGCTATTCTGTTCGTACAGGTTTTGTTT